CGCCACACGCACACACACCCCACCTCCCTCCTAATTCCTCCGGGCGTCGTTTTTTTCCCCACCTCCCTCTTTTTGGCGGCTTTTGTTCAATCGTCAGGGCATAATATTCCTCATAAGTTAGTGATACCTACCTAGGTGGGAGGGGGGAGGGAGGAGGGAGAGGAGGAGGAGGGGGAAGGAGGAGGAGGACGGGGAGGATGGAGGCGAAGATGACGGGGGTACGTTGATAAAACAATGACATAGTTATGACGGGCGAGTGTGTCAGCTCAGGTCTGACCACGACAGCCACAACTTCGTTTTTTACTTCACGACAAATTAACCCATTTGTTACCACATCGCCTTCAAATAAGGTGCGGTCAGCAATTCGTGGCGCAGCTTATCCTCAAATATCTCCTCAACCGGTGAAACAATGGCATCCATACTCTGTACAGCAGTTTGTATTAATTTGTCTTAATTCAATCAGTATTTTTCCACAAAAATTAAAGCTAGAATAAAAAAACAAATCTTCATAAATTTATATAGAATACAACAAATCTCAGTCTTACGGAAAAGCGGATTGTTCACAGCACTTCCCGCTTCTCACACGCATTTTGTATACGCTTACGGCTTACGTCACAGCTCACCTATGACACTTTTTAGTAGCAAAACTTGTTACAAGAAATTGATTTATATTGTGAACACATTTTTAAGTAAAGTTCTCAAAAACATGCCTTCAGTAAAGATGGTGTCACGATTAGAAAAAACCCCACAACGACGGACTTGGTTTTAAAAGTGATATTGCACCACAGGTGTAAACTTTTTAAAATCTGTAGAAACCACCCACTTGTTTAAAAAAAAAATAGTATTAGTTTGTTTATTAAAGGATTTTCTAGAATACAGCTGACAGGTGTTTTAAAAAATTGATTTTGTTAAGGCAAATTGATACAAGTTGTTTTGTAAAAACTGGAGAGTGTATGTTCAATGGTTTGGGAAATATTTGACAATAAGTTGCGCTACGAATTTTTCACCACACTATAAATCTAGTCGATATATTATTCATATTCCCAGTTTGCTGCTTGGAACATCGTCTATCAATACTATCATTTTCCCAAAAGAACCGGTTTTCTTCATCAAAGTCAACTGTGTAAGGTTCCCTCGTTTCTTGGAAAGCTCTACAGACGAGCAGTGACAAACAATTACTGGGAGCCACGTGTGTCGTGTGATGTCCTTTTCAGTAAAAGTTTTACGGCATTTACAACACAATAAGGTCATAAATTTAAATGTCGAAGATTAGAGGTGTTACAAGAGAGTAACAAACATAAAAAAGAAGGAGGAGAGATCAGGACGAAAGATGTTTGATAGGAAAGAAGGAGCAATTAATACCACACCAGAGCCCCCGCCAACCACCCACGTGTGAAGTCCGGCTGACAGCGAAAGGGTTAAGGATTAAGACGATTACGTCATGACAACTCCGCCCTGGGCGGTGAGGCTGTGGGGACAGCCGGGTGGCGAGGTGTGAAACTGTGACGATTGTCGATTGAAGTTTTTACACTTATGACGCAATATCGTGCTATTGAAATATTGGGGACCTGGACGGAGGGCTTGAACTTAAAAAATACACAAAGGCGAATGACCAGTTCGTCTACCCCTCACTGTCCCTCACCCCTTCCCGTCCCTCCCTCTCTTCACTCCTCCCCCCTCCCCCCTCTTTCCTCTTTAATTCGGACATGAGGTAGACCCGCAGGGATTACACACGTCGATTAGGACAAAAAAAAATTAAAAATAATTCTGCACAAAGCCTGGACCGGTCAGCTGGTCTCAGATAGCGTCAGTTTCGAGGCTGACCGTTGTAGAGTTCGCATCTTTACGTCTGTTGACTGTTGCTAAATTTTGAGTTTGGATTTCTTGTGTTCAGAAACATCTGAGAAAGATTTCAGCTGGACTTTCAGTTCCCGACTTTTTTCGCACGACATCAAAACGACCAGCACCTCGCCTGTGTATATCCGTGTCCTGTTTTTCCACATCTCGGGCGCCGTCTGCCCCAGACCTGGGTCAAGTCTTCTTCTGCCAATATGTTGCGGACACCGGAATTTGCACATTTAGTGGAGATTTTGGAGTTACGAACGAGAGAGCTGGAGGAGGGGATAGAGAGTCAGGCCCATGACTCTGGCAGTAACAATGACAGTGCTCTCCGTTCGTCAAACGTGGATAAAGCTAGCAGTGACAGTGTGATTCATACATCAACTGCCAAGATAGCCAGTAACGGCACAATGTCTCATACAACGACCACGGACAAGAACGTGGCGCCCACGGAAACAGCACCTTCCTCCAATCCCCGGAAACGGAGACGTCAACGAAAGCACGGAGATGCTAAACGACGCGTCACGTCAGAGGTGTGTACTGGCGGTGTGTTCCCTGCACCCAACACATATGTACCCTCCTGTGATGTCATATGTCCTACTACAACGACAAACAACACAGGTGTAGCCTTGTGTGACGTCATGTGTCCTACCAAAATTACAAACAACACGGGTGTAGCCTCGTGTGACGTCACGTCTCCTACTACAACGACAAACAACACGTGCGGTGACTATGCGCGTGCGGAAACATCCCCCACCCACTCGAAAAAAGGAAAGAGGAGACAGAGAAAGCGACACACGAATGGCGGGAAGTTCTTTGAGCTGTACGAGGCGACTGGAGAGCCACTGGGTGACGGGTCCTTCGGTACAGTGTCCACCTACAGACACAAGGAAACAGGGCGGGAACACGCCGTGAAGGTCATCAAGAACTGTCGGGGGGAGACACTCCAGTTAGTCATGAGCGAGATCGAAGTCTGTCAGAGGTACCGGAACTGCGACAACATCCTCAACTTCCAGGACTTCTATACGTCAGGAGATACGTTTTTCCTCGTCTTTGACAAGATGGCGGGCGGCGACCTGAGCCATGTGTTTGAATCAACGCCATATCTAAGCGAGTCCCAGGCTTCACGAGTGACCGGCGCCGTGGCCCGAGCGCTCCTCACACTTCACAAAGATGGCGTGGCGCACCGAGACGTCAAGCCAGAGAACATCTTATGCCACGCCCCAGGGGAGATCAACCCAGTCGTCCTCTGCGACTTTGGCCTCGCGAGTGACCCCCCTTCTCGACGTGACCCCTCAGATTGGGACATGACCACCAAGCCCGCCCTGCTCAAGTCCGCCGTTGGCTGTCCGGAATACATGGCTCCGGAGATCGCCGGTTTGTTGTTGTTGCCCACGTCACGGAGAGCCACAGCGCCTTACTACGACACGAGCTGCGACATGTGGAGCCTCGGGGTTCTCCTCTTTGAGATGCTGTTTGCCCGTCTGCCATTTCCCGGCGACTGTGGCAGGCACGGAGAGACCACGGACCCCAGCTGTGGGGACTGCCACAAGAACGTGTTCCCAAAGGTGTGCCGCGGGGACTATGTCATCCCCAACACCCTCAGATCCGTGTCTGACGCCGCCCTGGATTTGATCCGGAACCTCCTCGTCCTTGACCCCCAGGCCCGTTATTCTGCCGGTGACGTCTTGAGGCATCCGTTTGTGACGTCACACAGGGACGATGACGTCGCTGGAACCGACTGTCTAACGGCGTCCCCATGACAACCGTTATCTGAGTGATGATGACCCAGTTTTAGCAGAAGCATCTCCAGCTGTTTTTACAGTTCTCGGACAATATATTTATTTCTCTTTGGAAAAAGACGTACGCTTCGGACTATGTTACGACGTCAACACTGGTGTTGGTGTGTTTGTCTGAGCGTGTGGTGTGTGTGAGTGCGTATGTGTAGGTGTGTGTGTGTGTGTGTGT